GGTAACTAGGAATTAGTGGCATCTCCTATATAAAAATAACCCCTGGATGCCAGGCTTCAGATGCTTTTATTTTCTCCTTTTTTTTTTTTTTTTTTAAAGGAAAAAAAACGTAACAAGCAAACACAAGTTTATCAAGATAATGGAAAGGACACGAATAGGAACTGTATCATTAAATATTGCTTCTTTCAGTCTTGTTAGCCCAAATGTTTTCTGTAAAACAGGCTTGGATGATCAAAACATTTTGAAAGTCATGTTACGAGTAACTTCAAACAATCTGTAGAGGCCTAGGCGATCCTTGCTTTCAGTTATTGGCAGCGGGAAAGTTATCCCTATAAAAATGTATGCCTGTCCGTGTTCAATCACCAGCCCCCTGCTTAAGAAGCCAAGTATGACACTCATTTCTGGACAGGGTCTGGGGTAAAACTAGCTAGAAGAGAAAAATAAGACCCTACATCCTTAAATGTCAAAGGCAGAACGGACAGCTTATAAATTTTCTCATTTTGATTTTAGAGTGTTCCAAGAGTGTCACGTAGATTTTGATCAAAAGCAATGGATCATTTCAATACAGCGTTTTAAAGAAGTAGGCTCTGATTCATTTGGTCTGCTTTTCAAGTTGGAATTCTGCAACACACAGTTTAGTTGCTTAGTAACTAACAATATATTGCAGGAAGTGAACACCACAGGGCGACTACTGGTGGGTGATTTGTCAAATACGGTTAAACCTTTGAGATAATTCTGACCGTCGGTTTATAGGTTCCAGTTTCATATCTTCAGGTTTGGATCTTAGTCATAGTTGCATAGAGCGTCGCAGAAACGAGAACCGTTCTGTGACATAAATGTCCAAAGCTTAAAAGATGTAGCGGACTGGGGCAGTTGGTATTGATTGGAGATAAGATGTTTGATACACAGAAAAGTAAAAATGCCTGATCGTTGAAAAGTGATTTGTTAGTTTCTTTCACATCCCCCCTGGCATTCTTTAAGGATTCTTGCTTCATGATGCCTTTTTATGGACTCATATAATAGTTGTGGTCAGTAAGTCAAACTAGCTGTTCTCCAGCCCTAAGTATCGGAGACCATAATGGCTCCGAAGGGTCTAGCCTCCTTAAAAAAAAAAATGATGGAGAACACCAAGGGAAGGAGCATTTTCTATGAAAGAATCTTACATCAGCCCAGAATTTCTTTCCAGTTAGTCTTTTTCTAAATGCAAGTCCTTATGGATCGTGGAGGAGTATTTGAGGGCTGGGAAACATCGACCAAACCCAAAATGATTTATGCAATAACGTTAAGCAGAGTTAGTCTACCTACCTGGGGAATTACATTTAAAAGAAGCCCGGACCAATCAGTGAGACCAATTTTAAATGAAACTCCCTAGCTTTACATCTGTATCGTATCAATATTTCTTTTAAAAATGTTTCAACTGCCTCTTCTCTTATTTTGCAGCCCTGAGATGAGATTATCTTTCATTGTGTTCTCTTCTCAAGCAACGATTATTTTGCCATTAACTGGAGACAGGTTAGTGCATTATTGTTTCACTGGAGGCTTTTAGTAAGAGATGAATCTTAACAGACGTGATTGATATTTCCAAGTGGTGATTCAGGCCTCTCAGTGGGACCAAGCAGATGCACAGACGATTCGGTTCTCTGCACTAATAGAAGGAAGAGGAGGTCTGAGTCATATAAAGAGCAGATAATCTGGAAATCGCTGTCATTTATGTTGCCTGTGGAATGTGCTATGAAATCTGGATCCTGCCTTAGTTTTATACTCACCACTTCCTACCTTTCTGTCCTGTCTGTTACTGTCAGTGGTTCTACGTTTTTCTTGTTTACATGTAATATGTGAATCCACCAGGAATTTGAATAATGTTGAAGAAGAGAAAAAAATGGATCTATTTGGATAATTGACTAGATTCAGCAGACATCCTGGGTTTCTAGTCTTTTTCTGAGGTCTGCCGATGCTGAATATGTTCATTTTTATAAAGGAACTTGATATAT